GTAGTTCTGCAGTCCCAGTTTTAGCTCAGTAGGCCATATGAAATCCAAAGTGTGTGCTGGAGAAACTGAAACATTAAATATTTTGGGATTCTCTTATACTGTAGAAAAAAAAAAGGGTACCGCGAGCTATGACTTGAAGTTGAGAAGATAAAGAAGATATTGCACAAACACAGACACTAGATAGATAAAACATGCATTCTAAGGGTGTTTATTCTCTCTTAGCAGATATCCGATTCGGAGTAGAATTGATGCTCTACCTGCTGCTTTGTTCCCCTATAACAGGTTTTGTTCTCATAGCTCCTTATAATTGGGTTGCACAATATCAGGATTGAGTACATAATTAACATCTTGTGAATGTGATCAGAATTTCAGTCGGAATCATTGGGAAACTTCTGTTTTGTCGGAAGAACAAGAAAGATTGTGATCTTTTCCCGTTAGAGCCTAGGGATCTCTCTTAAGAAGAAGAAAAATTGCATAGAAGGTGACTGAAACAAACTTGAGCTTTCCATTAACAGTTACCAAAACATAAAGTAGGAAGTAGAAATTAACCAATGTTCGTTAATGGATGTAAGTTAAACTAATTATGCCTTGAAAAAATTAGAAGACACGAAAATGAGACAGTATATAGAGGAATTAGACAAACTAAGATAAGGATAAGTTATAGCTAGTCTTAACACAAGTAACACAAAATGATGAGTTCTCCTAACATTTATATCTAAAAAGTCTTGAGTTAAATTTGCTCTTAATTTGATTGGCAAAGTCAATACCCGAACCTATTACCCTTGCAGGTTGAAATTTGTCCCTTCTTTCCTTTCTCAACAAACACCATCAAGCAAGGACTATGAAAGGTGCGTTCTTGACTTCTTCCCTATATATGCTCTTGAAGCAAACACCATTTCTCTCTTCATTTTTTTTTCTCTCTTACTCTTCTTCCATTCCTGCCGTAATGGATAGAAGACAACACAATCAATTTCAGATTAGATCATATATATATGGCAGTAGAAGCATTAATTTGTAAAATTCTCACCATAGATTAGCTAGCCTGTTGTTGTCAAGCACTATCACACACAACTGCAGCCTTGATCCTCTCAACCGTGCATTTTATTAGACTGTTTACCGTGGCAACTGATCCAAGAGAGAGTTTTGCTGTTGGTATTGAATCAACTAAGATCTGAAATGCAACTGTGAGAAGAGAGCCACCGGAGCCAATGTCAAGAATTCCTCCTCCACTTTGCCCTGGGCCATCCGGAAGTATAGCAAAACCTGACGGTAAGAGGGCAACATAATCAGGATCCCCACCGCTCAAGACCACATTCATAGCACCAATATCAACTGGAGCATATATCACGTAGGACCCCGTAGCATCAGTGCAGCTCTCCTGTAGTATCAACATGTTGCTTTGGCTTGAATTTGCACTCTGTGGATTAATATTTTAGTTAGAAGTGTCAGTGTACGTATGCAAACGATAGGATTGAGGATTAAATATGTAAAGCATATGTATGTCTCGAGGAACTTACGTTTACGCGTAGCAAGGACACACAGTTGCCTGGATCACGACCATTGGCTATGTGAGCCATTTCTTGAACTAGGCCACCATTGGACAGAATATCCCACTGTAAATTTTAGATGAAATTTATAAATTTCTACCATTCCATGTTGTTATTAAACATTGAGTTAATTGTTACGTTTGTTTACCTCATTTCGGGAGTTCTCATTCCGAAGGAAATCAAATGCCCTTCTTGGTGTGACTGGAATCCAGAAAGAAGTTGCAGCACTTAGCACAATCCCGGGTGGCCTGCCGGGGTCATCCATACTCTTTCTGGTCATAACCCTCACATCATCAGAACCTGTTGCTGATAAAGTAGTCCAGGCGTGTGCTGTAGAAGCACCCACACCGGTGCAAAAGCTGGTTACCATCCTCTCAGCCAACTTCAACATACTCTTCCTCCCTTCTGGGCTAGTTATCACTGTTAAAAAACATCCATCTCAACGCAGCTTCTATATCAACCTTTCCAAATGAATTCAAAAGTCAAGAGAATTGTTTTACCACAGAGATCTCCTGCTGGAATATTACTGGCCATTGAACTCGCAAGACGTTCACATTGTCGATCCAAGGTAGCAACCCAACGTTTTGCTCCAAAAGCAAGGCCGGAACTAACCAGAGGTCTGTATATGTTGTGAACAGCCCTATCATCCACTTCTACATGTTCAACCCATATAACCTAAAGGATCATGAAACCATGTCAAAGATCAACAAGTTGACTAGCTTCAGGAACAAAGAAAATTGAACTTTGGTAGCAAGATCCACGATTATTTAATTTTACCTTCGAGTAACCATTTGGGAGTTCTTGGATTAAACAGCCTGAGGGCCTCCTTCTACACTTTGACATTGGAGCAGGGCGTAAATTGTCCAAAGAAACATCGACTACTGCCCAGGACCCATCTGTATGCTGCTTACAATACCTTGCAAAGTAATTTTCACGGGTCGGAACAAGTGGTGAAGGAACCTGAAACTCTGCTGTCATCTGAAAATTAACACATTTGATGTTACGAAGACTGAAATTTTCTTCTAATTAAAGAAAAGTATATATTGACATTTCGATTAGTTTAGTACCACTTGCAAAGCCCCATTGTAGTTCCCTGCTACTCCTGTTGATAGGACCTCCAGAGTCATTGCTCTTGAAACAATTCCACAAAACACACTTGACCATTGATTCTGTTAACAAAAGAAATAGATTAAAATTTTAAGTTAGAGATCTAGAATTTGAATGTTTTAGATGATGAATATTGAAGTTCAAGAGAGAAAACTCCCACCACATCCATGAGAATCTCGACGAGATTAGTATGATTCATGATCACAACAGCAGATTCCTTTGAAGCTTCAGATCTTAAGCCTAGAGGCCTTGGTCCAATTCCCCTAGGGAAAGTCCTCAAGTATTCATCTTCATTCAGCACATCAGTGGAGTTCTCTCCGAGAACCCACAATGGTTCCCCAGCTTGAGCCATTCTAATCAATTCCTCCATGGCTGCAACGGCAAGCTCAACAATCATTGGCTTATCAGTTTCACTAGGTCCAGAGACTGACCTAAGAATCTCTCCAGCTCCATACATTTCTCCTACAAAGCCTGACTGTGACCCAAAGTTGCTGACCCCGAGATCAAGGGAACGGGAATGTAAATGAGAAGAAAGATTAGTGAAGGTAGACAATGGCTTCCCAACATATTTAGCAGCTATTCCAGATACCCTATCAACCTGAAAAACAAACATTACAAAATTAAGGCTCTTAAATTAGCATTTATAATTAATTATAACAAAGTAAAAAATTTGTGTACACATCTCTGTAGTTTCAATATCATCACCTCTTCTCTTAGGCGAGCATTCTCAATTCTTAAGTGCTGTTCATCAAAAGACATTTCTCCTAGTGCAGCTGGACCACCACAACTAGGGCATGTTGCATTGCTGAGAGCTTCCTTGTACCTGTTGTTTTCAGCCCGTAGTTTTTCATTCTCAGCCTTGAGTATTGCATTCTCATGTCGTTCATGTTGAGCCTATACAACATATAGGAAGAGAATTAAGTACAAAATATATGAATTAATCACAAAAAGAATAAAATTAACAGGAATTTAGTCGAGTTGGTTTTGAGTTTAAAACATTGATGTAAAGTGAGGGATCATTAATGTTTCAAGTACTTGCAATAACCGACCACACTAATATCTGTATATACCAAAACAAAAACCAAAAAAGAGTAAAGTTACCTTCATTTGTGTGCGCTTGTTCTGGAACCAAAATTTGACTTGCAAAGGCTCTAACGCGAGCTCACGGCTGAGCTCCTTTCTTTGCTTATCATCTGGGTGAGGGCACTCCTTGAAGAATCTATGCGAAAAAAAAGGGAAAAAAAAGAAAAGAAAAAAAGAGTACAGAATAAATATTCTTCGTTAATTTCATTCTCACCTCTTTCCAAAAGTTTTGAGTTCAAAGTACTTTAAATTTTTAATTCTGGTTGTAATAGCTAAGCATATTAAATAGTTTTTGAGAGAAAAGAAAGAAGTGATTGCTTACGCTTCCATTTCCTGAATTTGGCGCTGGGTATGGCGGTGGTAGCGCTTCTTCTTCTGGCGTTGGTTGGGATCTTGGTCGTCGCCTGAGGGAGCTTCCATGGTCTCCGTACCTGACCTGGTCTCATAATCATCATCCCTGACCTTAACCAGGTCACTTTCCGACGTCTTATGGGTCATATCGAACATATGGTGACTCTCAAACATGTTGGACTGAAACATCTTAACAAATCCCTAGAATATGTGGAAGCTACGCTCTTTCTTAAGTACTTCTGCCTCAAAATTAGTATATAATTACACAAAGTCAACATGAGTAAATCTAGTAGTGTTATTAGTTGGAAACTAAATAAAACAGAAAAGTTAAATAACCAAAAAAACACGAAGTTCAAGAATTGAAAAAAAAGAAAGAAGAGAAACAAAGTCAAAATCTCAGTACCGAATAAAGTTTTTTTTTTTTTTTTGGAGAAGCTATATATATATATATGTATAAAAGTTTTTACTCATATACGAAAGAAAAAAATATGAAGAATCCAATTGAGTAATTAATAAATTGTATGTTTGATAATTTTTGTTTTAGAAAAATGTGTTGATGAAGTAATTAAATAGGCAGACGAAACAAGATGAATTGACCCAAATTAAACCTTATCTTAAACGTGAAAAAAATTATGTCTTAGAATTATTTCTCAAAAAAATTTTATGTATATCGAAACAAAGAAGAAAAGTTGATTACCTAATTGATCATCAAGGAAGAAAAACATCAATCTTTTTTTTTCTCTTCACAGCTGCAGCGGTGAAGTTGCTTGCTTTGAGCATCATGGTGTGGTGGTAGAAAATTTTCCAGAAACCCTAACTGAACTCAAACTCATCTTTTACCTCTTTTTTCTCTTTCTTTGGTTTGGCTTTGGATTTTTAGATAATTGGAAGTTTTGGGGTCTGACAGCTAATGAGGAATTCGGTAAAAAATGGGTAGGATAAGAGTTGACAAAATCACAAAATTTCAAAACCCCATCTCTACAAAGATTATAACGCCTCCCCCCCCTTTTTTTTTATATCTCTTTCTCACCAAAATAATAACGGAAAATCGCTTCAGAATGAAAAAATCTTACGTAACATAGAAAGCAAAAGAAAGCCTTTTGTGAGAGTGGCTTTCTAAGGGTTTAGGTCATCGGAAAACAGCTTCGGGGCGGACTGGGAGTATTGTTGAAAAGGGTATTGGGAAGAGGAGAAGTGAGAAAAGGCACAGGGGGAACTGAAGAGGAAAAACGGTCGAGGAAAAAGAGGAGATAAAATCAAAGGGGAAGAAGAAAGAGAGGAGGTGGAAGCTAAGAAGTTATTGCAGCGCGTAGAGAGAGGGTGCAATAGCATTTATGGCCGGTGGGGGAGGTGTAATTGAGAGAGAGAGCTTTAAAATACCGATTTTTTTTTTTATCTTTTTTTTTAAAACAAAAAATACAGCGCTTTTGTTTGTTTGTTCTTTTTTTTTTTTTTAATTGATTTGGAGAGAAGAAAAGGACAGATAATTATTTGATGCATTAGTGTTTATTAACTTGATTTATAAAAGATTATGAAATTTTTTTAAAAAAATATATTATTTTAATAAAAGATGATAAGAGTAAAAGTTTAAAATAGCATTATTTTTATTTTAAAAAATAAATTATTTTATTTTTAATAACAATTTATTAAAATAATATAATTTTTAAAATTTTTAATTAAATTTTTGTT